AGTCTCTGATTAATTTCCTATGTCACCTAATGCAGAGTTTACTGTTCCTTTTGGATTTTAACATTCAGCAACTGGTGTTTTACCTGTGGACTTCTCTTCTTTGGACAGTTGCTAGGAGTCCCTGGTGATCACAACTGGTGATCACTCTGGAAAGGTCCATTTTGGCTCACAGTTTTAGAGGATTCAGTCCACAGTTGGCTGACTTTAAAAAGGGTGTGGTGAGGGGCCTGGCAGAGGAGAGCTGCTCATTCCGTGGCTGCCAGGAAGAAGAGAGGGAAGGAAGGAAAAGGGGATGAACATACATCCTTGCAGGGCACCTCCGAGTGGCCTTCCTCTAACCAGGTCCCACCACCTAACAGCATATTCAACCACTAAACTCATGAATGCATGAGTCCACTGGTAAGGACAGTAACCGTGATCCAACTGCCATCCACACATACGGGAATTTGGGAGGGAACCTTGAAACCTCTTTTCTTCTGTATACCTTAATGTTTGTGAATAAACTCATTGTTCTTTAGAATTAAAGATTGTTGGACTCTGGAGAACATGGCGGACAGACAACAGCAACTACTGAATGCTCTCTAAAGGCTCGGCTCAGAGGCCAGGAATGAGGCGGACTAAGGAGATACGAACCAGTAGAGATATGCTCTGCTGACTCAGGAACGAACTGGGCTGAGAGAATCCAACTTGGAATACAGTCCTGGCGCTAAAATAGGAACAGAAAAATCTCGGTGTGGAGGCTCGACTCCGCGCCATTGGAAACCGCGGCTTGGATTTCCCGCCGCGCGGCGGCCGGCTACCTCCACAGCGGCTCAGCAAGGAGAGACGCGACCCCCGAGCTCTGGGAACGGGCGTCTGGGAACGGTCTCGGAAACGCGACGGGCAGGAAGGAAGGCTGACTGGTGGCGAGGTGAGCGAGGAACTGACTCCCTACCGCAGTCTGACTCCAGCGGAGGATTTTCTGGGCGCGGGCAGTCCTGTAAGAGCAGGGCGCGGTGGCAACTGCAGCCGCGCATTTCCCTCTCGGACGGGATTGGTGAAAGGTGCCTGGCCGGAGGGACGCTGCTCGCGGACTCCCTAGGCTGGCCTAGCCCAGATCCCAGAGCCTGACGGTGGCCCGGAGGAGCGACCGACTTCCGCGTAGGCTGCCTCCTCCGCAACTCCCTGGGGCGCAGCGGTGAGCTGGAACAACTAGCCAGCGCAATTCGATCAAGCTGTAGCTGACAGGCAGGGAAGCCGGGCCTCCTGTGTAAGATTACATTTTATAAGGAACAGAAAATATGGGGAAGGGAAGCAACAAAAAAGGCTCCTCGACCCCCAATCCTGAGAATCAGGCAATAGTGGACACTGTACCAATATACATTAAGCGCCATTTAGAGAGCCTCATAGACCAATTCAGGAATGAAGTTATCAATGACCTGAAGCTAGAAGTATGCAGAATAGTTAGAGAAATGCTAAGCACCACCCAGGAAAAAGCAGATGGTGGAGTGGAAGAACAGAAAAAGAGGGGAGAATTGCTTGATGGAGAAAACAGAGAAAGCATTGAGTATGTGAAGCAGGTGCAAAGGGACTATCAAGAAATCAAGAAGTATACCCAAGACTGGCATAACAGCTTGAAAGAAACTAAGGACAGACTATCTGAATTGGAGGGCAGACTTGAAACATGGGAGAATGAAATGAAAAACTTCTTAAAAATAACAAAGAAACACACAGCAATAATACAAAGACAAGAAGATGATAAGAGGAGCCATAACTTAAGGATTAAGAACATAAAAGAAGAAGTAGGGACACAAACAAGTGAACTACAAAAGCTACTCACAGAAATAATCCAGGAGAATTTTCCTAATTTAGCAAAAGGTAAAGATACTCAAATGTATGAGGCATACAGGACCCCAGCTACCTACAACCCTAACAGAGAAACACCCAGGCATATAATAATAAAAATTCCAGAAATTCAATACAAGAACAGAATATTAAAAGCTGTAAGAGACAAGAAACAGATCACTTACAAGGGAAGACCCATCAAAATTACAGCAGATTTCTCTTCACAAACCATCAAATCACGAAGAGCATGGGGAGAAATAATTCAAGCTTTGAAAGATAATAATCTACAGCCAAGATTGAGATATCCTGCACAACTGTCCCTGGAAATTGATGGAAAAACGAGGTGCTTCCAAGATAAAGAGGAACTGGGGGAATTTGCAACCACCAATCCAACCCTACAGAAAGTATTGCAGGATATTCTAAAAAAAAGAAAAATACAAAGAACCCAGAAATAGGGGCGGGGAGGCCACAACGAATAGAGCAGAGACCAAAACGAAGAAGACAAACTGACAGCTACTGACAGAAAAAGAGCTCAACAGAAATGAGACAGAGAAGACTGGATGATAGGAACAGCTTTTTTTTGGAGAAAATGACATCTTAATAGGTAATGCTGATTTAGTACCATCTTGTTTTGAAATCTCATCTAGCTTTTGTTCTTCTGTCTCCAATGGTCTAAACAGGTTGTATCTTATTGGATTTTACTATGTACGATAGTATAAGAAAAAACCTTTTAAAGACAAGGAGATTATACAGAGACCATTGTTCATTTTCTGTTAGTCGATTCTAAATACTCTATAATGCTGTTATTCTCTTAAATGGATTTACATTGTTTTGATATACTTAATGCTACAGTATATGAAGTTGTACTCAAGGACTTCAGGGAGGGAGTCAATATGGTAACTATTTTTGGGTCAGGATTAGCTGGTGGTGAAACACTATTCTGCTTAAATGGTTATGTTTTGATCTGCCCTGTTTCGCTGTTATGCCCTCTTTTTTTCTCAATCTCCACTCCATTATTTACTTTTTTATTTTTACCCATTTAATTACAGGGAAAAATATAGCAGGATATAATATAGTAACCCACTTTGACTTTCTATTATCTCGATTTGAAGCCCTGTATTACTCTCACCATCTTGTTTTTGACTGAGGTTCCTATATTCTGTTTTGCTGGATAGTATCAGGTTCGAAAGTTTAGGCATCAGCTGAGAAGATAATGAGATTCATTATAACGCCCATTCTCGTTGACTTTTATCTACTTTTGAAGACCTACAATGTCTCCAATGTTTTGGTTTTGTCGGTTTTATTCTTTACGGTTTTGTTCAATTGTATTACAACTAATGATATAGGCAATTCTATTAGAAATGGCGGGAGGCATTAGGGTAACCATTGTTGATCACCTTGTATTATGTTTTTATATTATCTATTATGTCCACCCTTTTGACTTGACCGATTCTGTTCTGTTATGTCACATTTGGTTTTACTCTCTTCCAAAAAAGCAACAAGAACCGTGGGAGCAATGAAACCCAAAATGTGTAATAGTCACTGTACAAAAGAGAGGAAAAGAAAGTGCTCTAAACTATATAACTGCATGTATATTTAAAAGTATAAGATAGAAAATGATATCACAGAGTTTTATTGGATCATTGAACAGAACTGTTTGCAGTATCATTGGTGGAATGTCCACTCTACAAGCTTTAATTTTGTGACTTGAACAATTATTTCTAAGATGGCAATATGTAATCCATTAACTAGTGATTTCCTACTGCGCATTTTTTTATTCTGTAAATCTGTATAACTTGTACCCCTTCACTGTTTTTTTTTCTTTCTTTTCTTTTCTCCTTAAATAAAAATTAAAAAAAAAAAGAATTAAAGATTGTTTTATCTCACTAACCCCCAACTTACATATCTGGTCCTGATGTCTACCCTGAGCTCTGACTCTTTCTGAAGCCATTTCTAGTTGCAAAGTCTGAAGTACAACACTCAATGTCCCCCTCCAAATAGCCTCATCTCCCTGTCTTCTCTATGCCATTAAATGACCCAGTTGCTCAAGACAAAAACCAAGTCATCCTTGATTTTCCTGTCTCCAACCCCTTCTTACCGTCCTGCCATCCAACCCGCCAGCAAACCCTGTTAATTCTCCCTGAAACCATTTCCCCCATCCATCTGTTTGGTTCTGTCATTTCTGCCACTTATGTCCAAACACCCTCAGTGCACTGGTGCAGTGGTGTCCTAACCACTTCTGTCGCCTTCTGCCGGCTCTTCATTCTCCCCAGAGCAGCCAAAACTGCAGATCAAGGCACATCACTGCCCTGCCTAAAACCCCCTCATGCTTTGGTTGCTGTACTTAGGATCAGCTCCACTCTTCACTCAGGCCTAGAAAGCCTTCCGTGTCTGGCACCAAACATCTCACGTGGCACCCCATTTCTCTAAGCCCCTTGCATGCCCCTGGTCACAATGCTGTCTCTGTTTCTCAAACCACCTGTTCCCCTTCCCCACCTTAAAGACCTGCAGTGGCTCTTTGCTTTTCATGGGATGCTTGCTTCGCCCCTCATCCCTGCTATTTCACTTTCATCTGAGCTCTGGACATGGATACGACTGGACGTGATTTCAACTATTTATTTTTATTGCCTGTGTCTAACATCAAAGCTTCCTGAAGGTGTGAATCTTCCTACCTTGTGTTCTGTTGGCTTCCTGTTATCTGGAATAGACCTTGGCACATAGCACATGTTCAGCTCATGCTTATTAAAGGGATGAATGGATCCTAGTGGGACTGACAGGGAGCTAGCTCCTATTTATCTGCTGAATTAGTAGCTAAGTCCCCCCAGCTGTGCTGGGTGCTCCTGGAGGGCAGATGCCCTTTCGTAGGTTTCTTTGTTTCCACACTAGCTGCTAGTATGGTGCCAGGGACTTCTGCATGCTTAGGAAATATAACTTGGGTTTATTGCTTCATCAAGGAGAGGCTGAGAGCCTTACTTTTGCACGGACCTTATGTCTCTGAGAGTCAATGTGTGACATGAGATGAATATTGTGAGAAAAAAGACAGACTGGGTAGGAGGAGTCAGGGACTGGCTGTCATTCTCAGCTGGGATAGAACTAATGGAGAGCATCTTCCTTTGGGGTTCTCCAATCAAAATTCTGACCACAGACTATATTACTTTTTGGTTCATGTGTTACAGGATGCAAAGTACATCCTGGTGATGGTGGATCCGGACGCGCCCAGCAGGTACAATCCCAGAGCAAGATTCTGGAGACACTGGCTGGTGACAGATATCGAGGTAAGCCGATCAATCGATGCCTCTGACTCACTTGCAATTGTGGCTGGTAGGTGATCACCCTGTGCCATCTCAGCTGTCACGCGAGAGGCTTGGAGACCTAGGTAAGCAAGGACTTCTGTGTCAGAAGGCCCCAAGTATTCGGCTGTCACGTCTCACAAGTGAAATATAACAATTTCAAAAACTGTCAAGGGCCAGTAGTGGGTGCACTGGTACCCAAGCTATCAAGATGAGAACAAGAGAAAAAGCCCTGGTGCTGAGTATTTGCTGATTTGTAGGCATGAGTTCTCTTTCCATGGTTGACTTCAAGGCCACAATGAATTGAGAAACTGGCTCTCACAAAAGTTTTGAAAGCATAACAGCAGGGGTGGACATGTCACTAGTTTGGGGAGCCATGTAATTCTGTGGGATCCGGGGAGCAGCACTGCCTGGGGGTGTCTGGGGGTCCTCTTCCTGCTGGGGTGAGGGGCATAGAGACGGCTTGTTGGTTTCCTTTTCTTTGTACAGAAACACACATCCACCCTCATCTTTGCCTCCTGATAGTTATAAGGGTGTCCAGCTCACTCTTTTCAGACCTGGTCTGATAAACACAAATTTGGCGGAGTGTTAGGGGGCATTTGAGGTCAGCAGAAGCTCTATGACAAGCAAGTTTCTGAGGTTCCGGGTTAAACTGAATTGATTTTATTCCTCACTGAATGGCTGTCAAGATTTTTCTACTCTAATATGCACTGTAGTCATCTGTGGGTGTTGTCAGGGCACTGTGGGTTTTGGGACCCCCCACACCATGGATACCAAAATCCACTGGTGCTCAAATTCCTTACATAAAATAGTGTGGCATTGCTTAGAGCCTGCACAAATCCTCCCAAATACTTTAAATCATCTCCAGATTACCAGTATCTACCATAATTCTGAATTACCAAACTTAATGCAATGTAAATCCTGTGTAATCCCCGGCTATCCTGGAGCTCACCATGACCTTCCTGCTTCAGCCTCCCAAATGCTGGGATTCCAGCCATAAGCCACCATAACAAGGTCTCACACAGACAGTGCTGGGCTGGCAAGCTGGGTGGAGTGCAGATTCCTGGGCACCGTGCCTGCCCTGCAGAGCACAAAATTCAGTCCATCTGAAGAGAACATGGTGTTATGTTGGGCAAGCATCCTGTGATACAGGAGCTGGGAGGGAGGCTGCAGGGCAGTGCTGGATGCCTCTGTGGTCAGTTACACCATTCCAGCTGTAGAGCCATTTTCAAGTGAAAAGCACCTTAAGAAATTCTCCTGCTCGCCATCACTTCATGATCATCATGACCCATTTTATAGTCAGGGGAAGCTATAGGCTGTAGAGATGGGGCTCCTAATCGCCCAGGCTGGGCCACACAGTGAGGGAGTCACACCATACCTCCCCCATCAGATCCACCATGGAAGGGACCACCATGCCCGTAAGGTAGGAGACCCCCAACCCGCTCCCAGGCATCTATCTCCAGTCACTCTTGGTGGATGGAGACTTCTGAGGGACCCTTCCCAGGGAAGTCTTGGTAATTAAAGTACCTGGTCAGCACTTTGAAGCCCATAAAACCACACCCCACAAATCATTAGCCAGGCACCCTCAGAATTAAAGCACAGAGCAACATCCCTGCAGACACAGAGTGACAATGGCTCTGTGGTTCCCAGGGGCCACGGAGACAGTCTTGGTGGAATCCAAGCTGGCCCTGATCCTAAGGTCAGGTCTAATTGGTGATAGACTAGGCCATGGCTGCAGGAGCCCCTTGGTACGGGAAAATGTTTGGAAAGCCTATGTGGGCTGAGAGAGGAGAACCCATGTGAAGGTCTTAGGAAAGCAGGAAAGAGCTAGAGCCTCCGCCCACCTCCAGAGAGACCCGATAGTATTAGATAGGGCTCTAGAGGTGCAGGAGACTGAAATAAAAACACGGAGTTAGAGAGCTGCCAAGCAGTAGGGGCCAGGCATGCTTAGTATCTTTTTGTTCATTTCATTCAGCAAGTACACTTGAGTGGTGTGATTCAAATCCCAGATCCACCATTCCAAGCTGTTTGATATTGGACTAGTTGCTCAATTTCTCTGCGTCTCCATAGACTTACTTGTAAAATGGAGATGCTGATGGTCTCTGCCTCACATTGTTGGAGTGAAGCTTATCTGGGTTCTTCTAAGCCAGATGCCTAAAGCCACACCCAGAACATGCAGTCCACGCAACACAGTTGCTGTTACATTATTGTCACCGTTTCAGGTCCAGTAGCTCCAGAGCTCTGGGTAACCATGCAGACAAAACCAGAGGAAGGTGCTGCTCGGCACAGGACTCCAAGGTTCCTAAAGGCCTCGGGCAGGCGCTTCTTGAACCTGTGGGTTTCCCTGGGCTCAGGGGCAGGACGCGGCAGTGGTCCTCAAATCCAGTCAGACAGGGAAGTCAGAGACTGAACTACTCCACATCCCCTTGACCCTCCTCGAAACTCTCCCTCTAAGCAGAAGAAATTTCTGCCAGAGCAGGACAGGGAGCATCATTCCCCCACCATGCCGTGTCCCCAGCATTTCCTTAAAGATGCTTTTCAGTGCAGGTTCAATTGAGATAATAATTTTCATACTGAAACCTAATTAAGATATCAATTAATTTGCATCATTCATTTCAGAAGAAGCACTTATTGGTTCCCCTTCTATTTGTCTCTGAAATTAGTGCTCGGGGCTTTTCATACAGATATTTTCATTAGACTTTTTATTGTTAATGGGAATATTGAACACAGCAAGGTGGTGCATTAATACTTTCCACAAAGAATATCGTGACTGGTGACAAAGAACATGAAGAACAATTAAGGAGACAAGAGTACCTTTTTTTCTTCCAAAAAAGAAAATCTTCCTAGAAACCGTCAATGATTCTAAAATTTGCCCCTGAATATCTTTTTTGTTTTAAGAAAGAAAAGGAACCGGCAAGTTCACGTTTCCCTTTCATTCAGTGCCCTCAACCTTTGGCAGCTGTAAATGCAACCATTTCTGGGTTGAATTAAAAGGACTTCTAAGGGGTCATTATTCTGTCTACTGTTCTATAGGGTTGAATTTTTCTATAATTAGGGTTGAGGTTTTTTTTTTTAAAGACCTCTAAGTGTGTTCTGTGAATAAGATAAATGGAAAACCCAAAAAACAGCCAAGGATTGTAGCCCCCTGCTTTCCAGTTCTGTGGTCAGGTGCGCCAGGACGCTTGTGTCTGAGGGACCATTGCTGCTGCTGGGAGAGGTTGGGCAAGATGCTGGAGCTTTGTGAAGTTGAGGCTTCTCAACTGTAAAACTGCTCCAAACCCTTACTCTTCAGGACAGAGGCAAGGAAAAGGGAAATTCCATATGCAAAGACCAGCTTTCCTGGAGAGAGGTGCTAAGAAAGCAACACATTTAATCCTCATTCCTAATCAATGGAGCAGCAGATCCAGTACAAATGTAAATGCGTACATATAAACAATGATTCAATGTGATTATTTCCTACTCCCAGAACCCCAGCCAGTGATAATCAGCAGGATAAATGATCTTTCCCAGGGCCACCCACTGAGATAAAGAGGGCAAGCCAGGGACACAGGATTGATAACCATTTCTTTATTGAGATTTGCATTTTCAGTTTTATGTGTATTTGTGCTGCTATCCACACATGCTTTGTCATACACGAAAAGGTTCCACTTTAAGTAACTATGTGTGGTGATCCATGCCTGTAAATACCAGCACTTGAGAGGCTGAGCTAGGAAGATCAACCCAGATTCAAGGCTATCTTGGGTCTATAGAGAGTTCAAGGTGAGTTTGAACAACATACAGTGACCCTATCTTGAAAGGAAGAAAGAAAGAAAGAAAGAAAGAAAGAAAGAGTAATAAACTATTAGCTGGGCATGTAGTGTAGACCTGTAAATCTTAGCATTCTGGGAGGCTGAGACAGGAAAATAACAATTTGGAGCCCAACCTAGGCAATGTGGCAACTTACTGAGACTTTGTCTCAAAATAAAATAGGTCTGGGGATGCAGTTCAGTGCAGAGACCCTAGGTTCAATTCCCAGTGCCACACAAAATAAGTAATAAACAACCAAAAGCTGTGAGTTATGCTCCCTAAGAACACACAGGTTCTGACCGTGGCCATAAAGAGCATTGTTTGTTGGGGATACTGTGGAGGTGGCACTGGTCAGAAACCAGACTGTTCATAGCCATGCCATGTACATGGGGAGTGGACAAGAGCCTGGCCTTTTGATTCAGATTAACCAACGGCAGCTCCAGGCTCCGTCCCTTCCAGATGGGACGCTCCTAGCCTCAGTTTCTTCATCTTAAAAGTGGGCACGCTAATAATGTCTGCTTTCCCAGTGCTCCATGAGAAGAAGCAAGATTCTTGACTTAGAATAGTAGGACCTTGATAAGGGATTCTTGACCCACCCCTGCCAACTTTGAGATCAGACCACAACAGTTGCTTAGGATTTTGTGCTTCCGTTCGGCTGTTGGACACAGGTCTTAAGAGTAAAAATTTAACGTGGCTCAGCACTTTGCCTTTTGGGTCTAGGTGGAGTCAGGCCCAGCCTGGGGGATCTGCCGCGGCTGGCTTTGGTGGACATAGGAAATGGGTCACTATTGCATTCAGTCTCTGGGATGGCACAGTAGCCTTGGGGACCAAAGCAGTCTCCCCTGAGCCGTCCTGAACCACAGCCAGGGTGCAGGCTGGGCCTCAGGCAACGGCCAGGTCCCTGTGCGCTTCCCAGGGGCCACGCGGGGGCCCCTTCCGCTTTTATTTTCACCTGAAGCCCAGCACTCCTGGCCACTTCCTTATCACACTCTCAGTCCCCACTCTGCTGTCATTGTCCTACCCCAGAGATGCCTTCGCTCCCATTCAAAATAATTTAAATAAAATGTTGCTACAAAGTGGAATATTATCTTTTGATGAATGTTTTTAAAGCCCTTTAGGTTTTCATGGTAATTTGTGGTATGAAATTATTTGGAGATAAGAGCCAAATTAGCTCTCCTGTGCTGAGGTCGCTCTGTCCT